ATGGTAATTTCCATATTTCATTAAAAAAAGATAGGTAATTCTTATAGTTTCGTAATTTTGAAATATCTTATTATAAAACAGGGTAATCTCTATAAAGTTACAGTACAAATCGAAAGTTTCATTCAATCTGATTTAAAAATTAGTTTAAACCATTAATAATAAGACATTATTAATACAGTTAAGGGTGTGATTAAAGACAAGCTGCATGGAATTAAAAAATGGATTCGCCTTTAAAAATATATGCTAATATTAAATAAAAAAGATTAAAGAAACGATAAGTGGGTAACGTGTGTTTTAAAAAAAATAGATACTGTATATTGCTTAATAGCTGAGACAGTACAAAAATTTATTTTCCTATTACTGTTTCTAAAACAATTTGCTTTTAATAAAAGCTCTAGAAAATAAGAACAGTATATTGAAAATTATACCCTAATCCCGGAAAATTGGGAAACTCAGATGTAGAAATCTTATCCAAAGATAATTTTCATCATCACATAAAAACCCCAATACTTCTGTCATGTTTAGAGACGACAACTATCCGAAAGGGAGGTTTGCAGCAAACCTTTATCCTATAACAAAAAGATAGATTACATTGCTATATCCAAAAAAAGTAAAATCTTAAGTCTCCTACCAAGTTCGTAACAAATTATGCTCCAAATCCTTCCGACACGTCTGGGTCTTTTGTCCCTTAGAGTCCACCATGATGTTGTCCAATCTCATATCAAATTTATTAAACAGGCTCTGTAATTGTAAGGGAGGATTAGAAATAAAATTAATTAACAGAAAAAAAAGTAAGTAATAAACACATGGGAATAAATTATACTAAATTTACGTTGAGCTGAATTAAAGCTAAATTTTTGGCTCCATAGAACGCTAGATGTACTACACATTAAATTTTTTTGTTCGACTAAATACCTACTACTAGTATTGAGCATAACAGAAAAAAATGAAATTTTAATTACATGACTTGGTTCATTTTCAATATTAATTTCATCAGACACCTATAACATGTTCTTATATTCAATTTTTGTAAGAAATGCCATTTTTTTATTCTTCTAAATTCTTTTCTTCATAAACAATAGAAAAGGTTAAGCTGATCATAATGCCCAATATTTTGCGAAACCAATCACCCTAGTAGGTCCTAGGCAACTTAGGTATCAACACACCAATTGATCGACTAGAGTAAGCAAATCATTCGAAGTAGTAAAACAAAAAAATCTAAGATTCATCATTGTGCAAACTATAACGTTTTATAAATAAACAATACGAAAAGTACGTTACAACCACCTCGGCAATGATATAGCTTTTAATCAGTCAATAAGCTTTCATCTTTGGTTTGTTAATTCTCTAAATTACCACCCACATATTACAGAATAGACAAACTAACGCATTTTCTCTGTAATAAAAATAAAAAAGTTTTAATTTATACAAAGATAAAACATTCATTTTCAAAACAAATTTCTAATTTCCATTTTAAATATAGCCAACAAAATGAATTATTCTCTCGGCTGACCGTTCAAGCATACGACTGTTAAAGGGAGCAAGTATTCGGAGTTCAAGAGAAAGAAAATTGCGCTAGAGAAATAGGTAAAACTATTCTCAACTACAGAGAAAGCTTAATTATAAATAAAAAATAAGAAAAATCGGCTACAACTCTCGACAAAGGCATAGCTATCAAACAATCGATGAGTTTTCAACTTTGATTGTTAATTTTCGAAATTAGCTACCTCATTATATCTATCTCAAAAAAATTAGCTACAACCCTCGAGAATGGTATAGCTTTCAAACAATCGATGAGATCAGTCAATAAGCTTTCATCTTTGGTTTGTTAATTCTCTAAATTACCACCCACATATTACAGAATAGACAAACGACATATTATTAATTTATAATTATATATCATTTCCATTTTATGTACAGCAAGTAAAATGAGTTGTTCTTTTGTCCGACCGTTCATACATGTGACTATTAAAGAGAGAAAGTATTCGGAGAATAAACGAAAGAAGACTACGCTCGAGAAAAGGGCGAAAACATTCTTAACTAAAGAAAGAGTTTAAATAATAAATACGACAAATCGGAAATTTTTATGCCATGTTAATTTCCGAAATTAGTTACACACATATTAGACAATAGACAAATGAACATTTTCTCTTTGTAATACACGTTCAAAAATATTTAATTTATTTAAAGCTAAGGTACAAGTTTAATACAGTTAATGAGCTTTCAATATTCGTTATAAATTTCCGAAATTAGCCTCCGCGCCTTACTGAATAGACAAACATTAATACATTCCCTTATAGCTTTCAAATAATCGATGAGTTTTCAACTTTGATTGAAATTGGTTAACACATTCTCTTTGTAATACACGTTTAAAAATGTTTAATTTATACAAGGATAAAATACTAACATTCAAAACAAATTTACTACTGTTAAAGGGAACAAGTATTCGGAGTATAAGAAAAAGAAAATTGCCCTTCAGAAACTGATAAAACTACATAACTACAGAAACAGCTTAATTATAAATAAAAAATACGAAACGTCGGCTACAACCCTCGACAATGCTATAACTTTCAAACAATCGATGAGTTTTCAACTTTGATTGTTAATTTTCGAAACTAGCTACCCATATATTATAATAAATATGTTAATTCCCGACCTTTTATTAACAATAAACGGGAAGATTTACAAAACAACATTCATAACAATAAGCGCAATGTTACACATTCTTACTATATATTATGTGTTGATAGATGCTCAATAAAATATACAAATAAGAATAAGGATAAACATAGCTCAATTAAGGAATGATGAGAGAATAAGTGAAAATAGGTGATTTTTTCACAAAGTAATCAAGTTTAGAAACCTAGAAAACCTATACAATTTTGGTAGAATAAAAAAAGATAATACTGAGTAGATACCTGCAACCTAAATTTAAAAGGGGTAGTTGTTTTCACAAATTCCTTTAATTATTTAGCAATTTCTTCTAAAATTTTTATTGTAGTTTCCACTGTTAAGCATTAAAATTAAACATTGAAATAGTTATCAATTAATTACCATTTTTAATAATTAAATACATCTAAATTGCTGAAAACTTAATTTTTTCGATTTCAAAAAGTGCAAAACATTCCGTATTTAAATCAGATCCTTATCCACCAGTGAAACGCCGAAATGACCGGACTTACAGCTTCGAATTCTCGAAACTGCAGGCCCGACCATTTTGACGCTGTCACTGAGGGAGAAGGATAAATACGGAGTCGCGGTAAATTATATAAGCTAGCTATCCAGCCGCTCTTTCCGAAGCCCCAACCTCATACAATGAACTACCTAGGCGCCATCAGCAGTTCATCTGAGTGGAACAACTTACTCAAGAGACCGTATAATATACCTAAGCGTGGCTGCTAAGAGCGAGCTATATGTATTAACTAAACGGAAACAAATGGCGGTGAAAAGGTTTGACGTTAAAGAGAGCAAGTATTCGGATAATAAATGATAGACGATCACGCTCGAAATTA